CAACCCTTCCTTGAAGTGTCAAATTTGACCATGAACCCCTTCCATGTGTATGGCGCTATTGCGTGTCGCACATTTATCTCAGTGATTCTGATGGGGCGATAATTTCTTCATCTGTGAACATACTCTCAAAGCATGTCAAGTGCCCATGACTATTTATCATATCACATAGGTATTTGCATTTCAATATCCCCTACTTTTTTTGAAGATTGTATAAACTAAATTAAAGAAAGACACCAAAATACTAATACTAGCGCTTTCTGTTCGTATTGAACAGAAAAAAAACAAGAGGAAAAAAAAACCAGCACAGAAAGATCGAATATTAATCAACAATGTAATCTATGGAAAAATAATAAAGAAATATAGACCATGATGATGCACGTTAGCTGGGAAATCGGGGAAAACGTATAACACATTCTAAATTAATTTCTAATGGCAAACGACGTCGTCAGTCACGTCAGATGCAAGAAGTAGAAAGGCATATATCTTGGCGTATTTTGAAAGGGATGACGTAAGCAGGTGCTTACCTGGAAAGAAGGATCCGGTGAAGATCAATGGAAACAAACAGCAAACCAGAATATTCAACGATTATCTAAGTAATTTATTCATCATTTTACAAATTGAGACCGAAAAATATTAACCTAACCTCCCTTTTATCCAGAAATACATGCCTTGGGACCTCTCATTAGAATATGGCCTTAAAACTTAAATAAAATAAAACCAAGTACGAACAATCCAAACCATAAGACAGAATTCGAAGTCCTAAAAAACGTTATAGGCAAAATCGTGTATTAAAGCAAAATAGTGTAATCAGCAAATGGACTGCTCCTCGTGTACAAAATACACGACAAACAGTGGTAACAGGTGTCCGGAAGAGAAAGCGTACCCTGCCTGGCGCCACACCCGCCATAGCTGCATCCAAACTATTAGGCGAAATGTCGGTAAAATAGCGTGATTGGCCAATGAACTATCGGTATGCAAAATGCACGCGATAAACTGTGTTGACGATGTAGTAGACATTATCAGGGAGAGAGTAATAGTATACGTGTCAATTAAATATATCTAGAATAATAGCCGAGAGAGACACGTTATATTTACCAATCAAATCAATATGACAGCCATAAAACTTTTTAAAGGTTTTAATAAGTTTAGTGCGCAAGTATCCTTGTAGTTGAAGCTTAGAAGACAAATGCCTCGATCTACTTAAAAAAAATCAGAATAAAAGGAACAAGATCTAGCGTAACGAATTAGCTGAGACACAAACACTCCATAAGCTGGTGATATTGGAATGTTACTACTAATAAATGGAAAGTTAACAATCGGAAAGTCAAAGTCATCACGATTATCGTACAATTTAACACTCAGTTTATGGCAATTGTCAAAATCGAGACGCAGATCCAAGTAGGAAGCGTAATTGTCACTGTCAGTGGTGTTTTTAATTTCGAGCTCATCAGGATATATGAATTCTACATAATCACTAAATTTAGGATTATTAAGTGATAAAACGTCATCGATATATCGATAAGTGAAATTAAAAAGTCTGACTGATCGTTTATTAGTTTTTACGAGCGTCTGTATGTAATCGGTCTCGTACGAATAGAGAAACAGATCAGCAAGCAAAGGTGCACAGTTGGTGCCCATGGGGATGCCAACCACTTGCTGATATATTTCCACTCCAAATTCAACAAAGATGTTATCAATTAAAAAATCCAACATCTGAATTATCCTGATGGCCGTGAATTTGTTTTTGGAATCACTGTGATTCTTAACGAAATATGCGGAATTGTAATTTACAACTAAATATTGATATCTAGCAGTACCTGATTTAGACGAAAAGACACTGTGAATAATGTCTTTCAACCGGGCTTTTAATTTACTATGGGGAATTTTAGTGTACAAAGTAGAAGTCAAACGTTTGATGAATAGATGAGACTGAAGCAAGGGATCTAGATTGCAAACCATCAAGTAATTCTTTGGAATTTTTCATTATCAACATTTGATTTAAGATCGCTGGATATTAACATATCACCGAATCCGGAAGTTGTTAAGAAAGCCGTGTCTGTAGACGACATGAAAGAAAAGTTGGAGTCTATAGAAATACCAGCTGTGGAATGTGATGAATGGCGTCGAGTTGAAGTTGAAGGAAACAAGAAAATGAGAATAGTTAAGTTGACAAAAGACAAGGCAGATTTTCAGGACATAATTCTCACCTAGTACTCATTATTCCTTGAGCATGTTTCCGGAGTCAGCGCACAATATAAGGCGCTCCTTGATTTAAAAGCCAACCTATCACTGGGTCATGTAATATTATAAATGGATTTTGCGGAGAATTTCACCTGCCAAACTATGGATGAAACCCAATCAGCTTATTGGAACATTACTTCGGTTACAATACACCCAGTTCTAGCTTATCGATATAGGAGCAGAACAGTAGGACGTTGAACCCCATTTCATTTCATTTCATTTCTAGCTTATCGAAGAAATGAAGAGTGAGCATTAAGTCACAAAAACTTTGCTTTTATCACCGATATAAATCATCACATTCCACAGCTGTCCTGCCAATACTTAAAATTTCGTTTCCATTATTAAAAAATACAACCCAGATATGACCACAATTCACAACAGGACAGACAGTTTTTCTTCACAGTATAGAAACCGATTCATGTTTTCCATCATTTCACGACATCAAGAGCTGTTCGAAGTAAATGTCAGGTGGAACTATTTCGAGGCCGGTCATGGCAAGGGTCCTTGTGATGGAATAGGTGGAGCATGTAAAGCAGGGGAAAGCCGTTATTCAAGACGGATATGAATTCTATAAATGGGCTCACGAAAATGAAAAGTCAATTAGTGCATTCTTTTACTCGCAAGTCGACTATGATTCCGCATCTCAGTGCCTGACAGACATGGCAACAAAGGTTGTTCAGGGTACTATGAAATTACATACCGTGTACTGTCCTAGTCCTGGTATAATATTTACCCGATCGGTTTCCTGTTATTGTAGCGGCTGTTTAGACGGTACTGATCTCTGCATTGGCTGGATAGAACATAAACTTACGTCTTCTTCTGCCGCTGGCTCTGCGACTTCCCGTTCTTCGCCATCATCATCTGCTACTGATTCTTCGTCATCTGCTGCTGGTTCTTCGTCATCGTCTGTTGCTATTAATGATCAATCTAACGTAAAAGAAGACGCCTTTATAGTTGCTGTTATTGACGGGTATTGATATGTTGGTAGAGTTCTGGAGGTGGAAAAGCGGGCACAGTTGAAGCTTTCGTTACATTAATGACCAAACATTATTCTAAAGGACAACTTACTTTGCGATGGCCGGAAAGACCAGACGAATTGTTAATTCCATTATCAAATATCCGAATCATCGACGAACCTCTCCCTGTTCGAAGATCTAAGAGAAATTGTCAGTTATCTGACGCGGATTTAAATGCCCTCAAAGAAACAGATACGTTACCCTAATGTTTGAGATCCATATATGCACTATTTGATGTTAATGTGCCAGAAACTTGCATGGTTATCTGTTTATTGTTGTTTTTAGGGAAGTTAAAAATCGTTATTTTTTACTTTCGATATTGTCTGAAAAATCAAATTATTCTGCTACAGATACATTACCGCTAAAACAAGTGATACTTCGTCATTTATAACTGATCGCTCGATGAATTCCATATTAATAGTAGCCTTTATTCCATACAGCGATCAACATGCTCTTACCCTGTTTGATTGTCCATCTTATATTTCACAATAAACACCCGAATTTGTCAACATTATTTAATTTTAAACATACGGAAACCACCGTGCAATATATGAGAAAAATGGTTTTTCTACCAGTGTCTTGATCTAGATAATACATTATAGTATTACGTCACAATTAAGATAACTACCTGGGTTCTTCGTTGATTATTTGTTTGTGTAACGTATCTGTTGCGCGTACAATTTCAGGTGGGTCCAGATAAGTTGACACAGGTTTCTCCTCGGACGAGATATTTGTTGGTATTCCATTTGGCTCAATTTAGTGCAGAATGAACGTGTAATGTAATGTATGCCTGTAATTAAATGTAATAAAGAAACTTTACACATGTAAATAAAGAAACATTTGGTTCAGGAATACGTTACAAATTTCATTTTTAAGTTCATTTTATAAGCTTTTTTTTCGTCTCAAATATGCAGGTGTTGTTTTCAGGGGATCATATTGAATTTTTGCTTTGAAAATGAATTTTGACTTTCATGGCAAAATTAGAAACTTTGGAGAATTTTTTTTAATGTAATTTTATACGAATCAAAGGCTTGATTAAGGGCTAAATAAATATTCAGGCCACGAAGTGCGAATCAAAATATGGCAAGATCTGTGTTTTGGACTACTTTTAATGACGTTACAATTAAGAAAATTACATAATGCCGGAAATTGTCACAAGTTTCAACATTTATTTTCTTTACATCTTTCAAACATAAATACAATCACGTTAGGTATCATTAGAAAGAATATAAAACGAACATTATATGAACAAATTCTATTTTAATAACTATAGGAATGGTAGCAGTTGTTAGTTGATTGACTTTCTAGTTGGCAAAGTCGGCATTGTTTTCCAGCAGGTTTGGCTGGTATTTTCCTGTACCATATCTAATTATACACAAACAGATTATCTATAAAATTTCAAAATAAAACAAAAATACTTGTGTGGACAGTTACCTGGCATTCAAAATCATCGACACTAAACATTTCCCATACTCTGTGATATTCTCTAGGCGAATTACAAAACTGAAATTACTGTATTATTTTTATGATTTATTCAGCAGTTAAACTAGAAATGCTATGAAATAGTTAATACAAGCCCAACGAAACAACTAATCGTAGATTTTTTTTTTTGGGGGGGGGGCAAATAACCCTAAACACAGATATTTTATTTCCTTGGCCTAATCAAAATATATTTGTCTACGTTTTCGAGACTCTGTCTACTCCCCGTCTTTATAATTGACCTTCTGTTGTAAAATTCTATAGATTCAACTGCAGACTCAACATAAAGGTCATGGCTACCGAGGAACGAACGATGCTCTGCGGCAGATACATACAAAACATGGTTGGGTAAGTAATTGTTCCCATTATTCTTTTTGTCCTCCGCCTTTCAACGAAAGCAGGGGACTATTAAGACGGGTCTGTGGTACCGTTCGTCTTTCTGTCTGGGAATGCCTTGATGGAGTTCGAAGATGAGCATTTTCTGCTTAGGCCAAGTAAAGATAAACAATTTTATTGGTTGATGCTTTGGGACACGATAACTTTGGTTCTAATTAAATAGGTGGTGAAACTTGGTGTATAGTTTCATAATATCAATACTTTGACTAAGTTTGATAATGAGCATTTTGTGCCCAGGACAAGCAGAGCGATAAGTATTTTGATTGGTCGAGACTTCGGAGGCCGATTCTATTTGAGTCAGAGGGGTGAACGTCGTATATAGTTTCATTACACCCATACCGTGACGATGGGCGTGTTCTGATTGGTCGATACTTTGGAACAATAACTCTCCTAATTAAAGAAGAATGCTCAAACTTGGTGTATGCGTTTATTACGTGAATGCATTGACAGTGTAGGATCATGCGCTTTCACTAAGCTTAAGCAGATAAAAGCAATTTGATTGATCGCGACTCATAGTATAGATTCATTATACCAACACTTTGACTAAGGTCGATGATGAGAATGTTCTGCTTAGGCTAAGTAGCGATAAGCAATTAAATTGGTCAAGACTTTGGAACATAACAACTCTGTTTTCAATTGCGATAGAATGTTTAAACTTGGTGTAATGTTCCTTCGGTAAATTAACATTATCCGCTAAAGCTTAGCAATTTCATTGCTCGATGCTTTGGGGCATGAGAACTTTGATTCTAACTGATGGGGAGGAATGAAATTTAGTATAATAGTTTCAATACCAGGTACTTCAAACCCTTGACTGAGTGCTTAGACTAAATATAGATAATCAGTTTGATTGCTTGATACTGTTCAAAAAGATAAATGTGCAATTAATTAGTATGTCATCTATTTACTGTTGGATTGCGACAGGGAACACCAGCCTCACTGCTACATTGTCTTCTTATAGAAGGAACGAAACTGTGGGATTTTGAAAAAGTATTATACATGTTTTTTTGTTTTCTTTTAATTTTCTACGAAAACAATACAGATTAGGCACCGACTCTAAAATGCAAGCAAATTTGAATGCTTAAATTAAACATCTTGAAAGGGTTTAGCCAGCCTTGTGGTAAAGTCCGGGTAATACAAACAGGTCTGACTCTTTGTTGTTACCAAAATCATAAACTTAAACGAAAGTTGAGTAGTATGTCATTGCATGAAAGTGTAAATGCGTTAACCATGTTAACAGCAAAGTATGAGATGTGCGAGAGAGCCTATGCTTGGGTATTCTGTCAGAATGCTATAATGCAGTATACATTGTTAGAGTCATAAATAATTATCTATTTTCAGACCAAAGGTTTTCTACGTGGACTGGCATGGCCAATGTTGTCATATGGCGTAGTTAATTCTATCTTTTTTGGTGTGTATGGTTCAAGTTTAAGGGTGTTTCAAAGACTATTGGGAAATGAAGGAAGCAAGCCTAGTTATTTATGTATCTATATGTCTGGCTGTGTGGCTGGGGCAGCTCAGCTTGGTTTAGCTTGTCCAGTAGATTTGATTAAAGTAATACTCCAGTCACAGATTGGAAATGAAACTAAAAATTCAGGTAACTACTTTGTTTTTATGTTTAGTCACCGGATCATTTAGATGAAGAGAGGCCCTAGGCTATTCCATTTTTGGGGTCTATCCCAATCTGCCAGCCTCTCGACACAGGTTAAAAAATATGATACACATTGGGCGGAGGTCCCCGAGATCTTCAGACCTTCGGCTTCAGTCTGGTAAGTCTGTATATGTCAGCCATTCCACATGATTAAACATGAATCAGCATCTATGAAAAATGCCAATTGGCCTCCTAATTGTAGAGATAACGACTTATCTACATGCGTTTTTGTATACAGAAAATAACTCTCCAGTGATAACGTTCTTTAAAGTTATTAGTCGCGAAGCAACTAGATAGCCTCACGTTTTACTAGTGTATAAATCGGCGTTTCCTCCTACCCTTGCCCACTGCACGGATATCAGGATTGATTTGTGTAATATAAATGCATTTAACTCGCCATTTGTCTTACACGTTTTTTTAATCAAGGCCAACAACAACAAATGAGCCACGTAGCCACAAATGGTACACTATCAGTACTTGGGATGAGTGGACTGATTGTTGATAGTTCGTCAGATGTGACAAAACTGACATTTCGAAGAGATCTAGATCTTGATTCGCTGATCGTTTAGGCCCTTCGTAGCATTATATAGTATAACTGCTTAAATTCATATTTTCTCCGCTGTTTTTCTTACTGTTGGATATGGAAATGAAAAAAATCTGCACCGTCATGGCGAATCAGGTCTAGCTATGCTTTCTCAGTAGCGTATATAAATAAATTCTCTGCTTATTATTTGTTTAAATTAGTTGCAGTTCAGTGGCTGTAGCATTCTCGGTATCCCCACTGGGATTGTTCCGTTGTACTCCACTAACTTCTGGGGTCATCCACGGAGTTTGAACTAATTCAAATTATCTGCCCTTGATCGTAGCTTGATTCTACGAACCAATCAAAAAACAGTTTACATACCAGTCTCGGCGTCATTGTTTACGTTGACCACACTCAACTAATGTTGCAGTAAAATGCGAATTACTTCCCTTCGCGCACTCGATTGGTCGATAAAAATAGAGGTATCAAGGGCGGATAATTTGACTGTGTCTCCCCCGTGGATGGACCCAGTTTATTGGAGTAGAAGGGAACGATACCACTTGGGATACCGAGAATGCGAATGTAGTATTTCATTATACATGTATTTAAAGATGGCTTCCCCGATACAAACGTAGTGATTTGGACTAAACCATATTCAAACTACTTTATCTATCAAAAGTTTGATTCAAATCTCCCCCTAAAACATTCTAAGCGGACCCTATGCCGCGAGAATAGCCCTTGTTTAGTTTATATTTTCGTTCGTTGCTGTCCATTTACCATACGTGAAATTCTAGATTATCCCCTGCCAACTGGATGTTTAATTCTCTCAATAATTTCAATCGTTAGACATTAGATTAACCAATAAGAGCTACTTACGTGGCAGGCTCTTAAGCCGAATTTCTGCCCAAATCAGTTGCATCCAGATTCATTCTGCCGATTGAGTAGACACACTAGGTGAATTCTTCGACCGATTCAACAGTTGATTGCGCCACCTTTCACGTCATATGATTAAACATGTCAGCGTCAATAATCACATCGCTGATTTGCCGTTGACATTGAGATCTCTCCGTGTCTCGCGCGTGCATCCAACAGACGGGACTCGTTGCCTGTCCATCTATACACGGTCCATGGCTTGACGAACCTGAATCCGTCGCCGAGACGCAGTTTTTGTTATACACTCACATATTCATGTGGACGTATACACTCACATATTCATGTGGACGTATACTAAATTGTTGTCGCCCCTGCGAGGTCCGTCCACAATTTGTTTGTGGACACACAGATCACAATTTTGTTTTGATTTTGACATTTGAAAGTTAGGTTTATCTCCAAAAGATCTCTGTTCCTTTGATATTGTCATGTATCGGAACGTAACTAAATGGATATGGCCTCTGATTGTACGTTTTTAGCTTGTGGACATTCTAAGAGGTCACAATTCTTATCTTGAACTTAAAATGTATGTTTATAACCAGGGATCTCAATCTGACCCATTACAGTGATCGGGGCCACAATTGATACTTTCATTCTTTATATTTTAGGATTACAAGCACAAAACAGACGTTACTTCACTACACCATATCAGTGTGCCCGAGATGTTGTGAAGCAACATGGAATTCGTGGTCTCTATAAGGGATTAGTTATCATGAGCTATCGTGACGTACCAAGTTATGGTCTTTATTGCTTAACGTTTGAATATCTCGAACACGTAATGCATAAATACTCACTGACAGACAAAAATGGTATAACTGCAAATCTCTTTGCTGGAGGTATGGCTGGCACAGTTTGTTGGCTTTCCATAATGCCACTGGATGTAGTTAAAAGCCGTGTACAAGCGGATTTAGATAATGTTTATAAAGGATTAATTGATTGCGCCAAAAAGACTGTTCGTGAAGAAGGAGTTAGAGCACTATACAAAGGAACATTAATAACATGCATCAGAGCATTTCCGGTGAACGCTGCCACCTTTCTAGTATATTCGCAATCATTAAAATATTTAAAATCTAGATGATACAACTGCCAGTTTTTATGAGATACACACATGCTTAGCACATAACAACAATTGTGAGTGTAGTTCTCATGGACTGTGCATTGAGCTTCAGAGTAGTGCACCCGGTGAATAGTGTCTTGAGATGCACAAGAATTAAGGTATCATTTAATAGAACTACTCGCGGGCTTCGCAATTTCCCAATATTACAGTTATTCTTAATGTATATTACACCTAGCCGTGCCTTCTATTGACAAGAGTATGTTAAAACAAATTTTAGAAAGAAGAATGAACTAAAACGGACAGCAATTATGGGAGACAACTCCGTCCCCTCGGCACACTTCGAAATATATCAAAGTAATTAAAATTTCCAGTTTTTAGTGGTGTGAATTACATCAATCTGCATTTTAAAACATTACAATTTATTTTAATATATAAGATGTGCACATACTCATCTTCTGCTTTGTATCAAAGCAAGATAATAAAATGCAAGATAATAAAATATTTTAAAATTGATAGTAATCTGCGTTATTTTTATCTTGAACTTATATTACGAAATATCATTTTTAGATAAGATAATCAATTGATATTGTGAACAAAATTTTAAAGTTTGCAATATATTCATGAAATATTGTTCTCTCATCAAGCAGGTGGACATAATTGTTTTTCCTGTATTCTAATCTTGTGTGACAGTTATCTTCATGGAAACTGAACCAAAATGGAATTAAGTGTGCGACATTATGCGCAATTATTAATTATATATCCCTATCCTCCGTTTAACAGTATTATTATGCGCTGTGCCAGTGACCGATAGCTTATGCACTGTGATGGTTCATGCTCATTTTTATGGACTTTTCAGCTACAGATAAAGCTTTTACATGAAGTTTAAACTCTTAACATGCCATCAATATTATGGTGTTGTAGTGGAAGTATGTCGATAGTATCCGAGGTAGCTTATCCATTGTATTAGATCATGCATTTATATGGACTTTTCAGTTTTGGGAGAAAGCTTTTACACGAGTTTGAACTGTAAAACCCACCACCTTTCTATAGTGTTTTAATGGCGGTATGCACGTCTTCACGTCTGATGTTTTCCCAAATGGATGATGATCCATTAGATTTCGCATCGGTCTCGAGTACACCATCGATGTATTTTTCTGTTGAGTGTTCCGCTTCTCCTTTACCCCATGGCACAGACAAAAAGTGCAAGAAAGCGATTTTTGAAACGTCTTTAACATAATCGACCTAGCTGAAAAGTATACCAATTTTCTCCTGTATAGTATCAATACATGTATATCTGGTATGATCAGAATGTGCGTCTGCCGGGTATCTGGTGGTGGGTGTGGTATCCGGCACTGGATAGGAAATGACTCGTATAATGCTAATACAGTCAATCGGATGGGTGTAATTCTCAATATTTAATTGAATTGTTATTACAATAATGGTATTAGGGTTTTGAGAGATGGTGACACAAACTAGGTCATTTGGTGCATGTGGGAGTCTGGAGGTTCCGTGTTCGATCACGGTGTTGGCCGATACAGTTCGTCGGGGTTTTCCGACATGGTCCCTCCTTGTCAGTGGTGTAAGACAGAGGGTCTGACACGGGACAACGTATAGTTGTTCGGATAGGATGCAAAATGGGGTTACATGTACACATTGGCGTGCATGTAAAATATCTCTTGACAGTTGGATGTAGGCAGTAGAAATGAAATGAGGTTTAACGTCCTACTGTTTTGCTTCGAACTAGGCTAATGAAGACGGACATACGCCATACATTGTGTTATGAGGGAAATTTTGCCCGGAGTGCGTCACTACAACCTACTCTTATATCGAATTCCAACTGTCAAGGGATCTTTTATGTGCACGGAAATGTGTACACGGGACCTTGGCTTTTCGTCTCATCCGAATGACTAGACAGCTGCCCTTGTCAGGCCCTCCGTCCTGCATCACTAACAAGGGGGGGCCACACCGGAAAATCTGGATGAACTTTCTCGGCCAATGCAGAGATCGAACACCCGACCTCCAGGCTAGCGAGCCAGCATCTTAGCCACCGTGACTTCCCTGTAGGTAGTAGCTCCGCTGTCCGGGCAAAATGTCCCTCCTAACACACTATGTGGCGTCCGTCTTCATTTTCAATGAAACTTGAAATATAGGTTTATCACCCTAAGATCTCGGTTACTTTCGATATTGGCATGTATCGGACTGTAACTTCGTGGATTATGGCCCCTGGTTGTACGAAAAATCATGTTTTTAGCTGGTGAACACTGTAGAGGTCACAATTTCTATCCGGTTTAGTTCAAACTTGCAATGCATGTTTATAACCCAAATATCTTGGTTCCTGTCGATTTTCGTACATATCGAATCGTAACTTCTCGAATTATGGCCCCTGATTGGACGAAAATCGCCTTTTTAGCTTGTGGGTCCCTCTAGAGGTCACAATTATCCGATTTAAAGAAAACGTTTGAACATATCACCGTTACACCCTGAGGATGGTTTAGTTCGAATTTCGTAAAAATCGAACCGAAACTGACGGACTAAATGACCGCCCCTCGTTCGCAAATAGTGTCAAAATATTGTGTATCAGGGTTGTGGACCCTCTTGAGGTCACAATTTTCATCTGATGTTGATGAAACTTGAAATGCATGTTTATAACACAAATATCTTGGTTCCTGTCGATTTTCGTACATATTGAATCGTAACTTCCTGAATTATGTCCCCTGATTGTACGAAAAATCGCGTTTTTAGCTTGTGGGTGCCTCTAGAGGTCACAATTATTATCCGATTTAAAAAAAACGTCCGAATATATCACCGTTACACCGTAATGTTTGATGAGTTTGAATTTCATGAAAATCTGACTAAAACTGCCGGACAAAATGGCCGCATTTCGTACGCAAATAGTGTAAACATCTGGTATAACTAGAGACCACAATTATCCCGCTCATATTATGAACGTTGATTTTGAATCTTCTGATAAAGACTAAGAATAAACTAATATCTAAACATGTCTCTAATTTACTGTGTTTTTATGTACATTTCCAGATCTCTTTGAAAGTACCATTAACATTATTATTTGGAAGGACGAAATTGGTACTGTACGAAAAAGCAATGTGATTAAAATACAGATGTATATTTCGTTTCGTGCTTTTATACTTTCAATGGCCTACACTACATGAAGAGCTGACCAGTTGTACTGGGAGTTCACGTCAGGGGTCGGACGAGCGGCTTTTGACCATATGACGTCAGACATTGATTAATCAATCAGCTTTGACGTTTCTATGGGTTTACCCACAGTTCCGTGCAGAGAACGTCAAGAACTCGCCGTAAAAGACCGTTTCATTGGCTAATTCCTCACATCAACTAGACCGCCCGTTATATAACAACCCTTCCAGATCCTAGTGTTGTGTGAAGACAAGTAAAACTAAATTTTGAACTATGAAAAACGAAACGAAATAGCATCTGTGTTTTAATTAGATTGAACGAAAAAGCTAAAGAGAAAACACTTTTCAGGTCAATTTTGAACAGAATGGTTTCTGTCCCCAAAATTACATTTTGTCCCCCGCCCCATACAATGGTAATCTTGCCCACAAAATTAGAGATGTGCAGCGGAATTAAACGGTAATGTTTTTACCAAGCTCAAACAAAATCATCATTTAAATCTACGTGAACTCATTTCCCGCCAATCCCCCCCCCCCCTCCATACACATACACCTGCTACACCCACCCCACCTCCCCACATATCAAGACAGTTGTCCAGGGGCATGGTATGCACTTCTTTAGAGATGGACAGTCCTGGAAATTTAAGTTTTATTTATATCAGCATAACGACATTTTTCCCCAATTGTAGACATTTTACCCCCCCCCCCCCCTATCTCGAAAACGCCCCATCAAACGCCTGATCACCACGCAAAAAAAAAACGGGTCTAGAAAAACTTGGTCTCATAAATTCACAGCTCGGGTGGCGATTCCCCCTTTCAACCACCGGACTATTGCTATCTAATATTTCTATCGGGTCGGCATGGGTTGCCTGCGATGGACCAACCCTTCCATCTACATTATCAAGGATATTAATCTTTAAAAAGCTCGACTCGTTGCTGCTCCAAACTAGTCCTGGTTATTGTTGATTTAAATCGACATAGTGTTGAATTATTCGTGCTATCTAACATTTCAATTTTCTTTTTACGTAGGTCGGCATGATTTGCCTGAAATGGACCAACCCTTCCCTTTACATTATTAAAGACATTATTCTGTAAAAAGAAAATTCCACCATACACTTTTTGTTTAGTACCGGTACCAGATTCCGCAGCTCTCCCACGATCTTCAATATTAATCATTAGTTTAGTTTTAGCAGATCCTATTTTTATAAATTTCTAAAACAAATAAAAGGTGTTATAGAAAGTGGATAATGGTGGTCTATATATTTATTATATTTCTGTTTTACTTTTAGTCATTATGCTATTTGAACTACAAAAAAATCAATTTTTCTAGGACTGAACTGGAAAGCTATTAAGATTAACATGATCTAAAGGTAGTTTCATTTCGGAAAATAAACTAAAGTATTCGTAACTTACATTAAATTGGTCGATTTGAATAATTCGAAGCTAGTATGTCTTAGTATTTGTCAATGAAAATTACCTCAGATTCAGAACTCTGCATAAACAAAAGAAATGTTTAGCTTAAACATTAAAGAAATGAAGTACCTGTCTTTGTCATAGAATTTACTTTTACTTAATTTATTATCTATATTAGATACCATTGCTATCGGAATGGGTAGTTAATTTTACTAAAATAAAAATAAATGAAGCACAGAATTATACGTTTAAATGGATTTGTAAATACTTACATGGTCGACGTTTTATTACACAGTTATTACTGTAAATCTTGGCAATATTTATCTTTGGTCTCTCGATGAAGTTCTGAGTATTTATTTAAAAAAATCAAGATTATATATAGATAATGTCGCGTGTTAAACAAATAATTAAAATTCTTAATGTGGACGAAAAAATCTGTTTATAGCAATTTAAAGTTTAAATAGCTCTTGATTTAGAATAAACGGTTCATTTTATAGTTTGTATCATATAGTTCATTAACACTATTACCAAAATATACTATTCAAAAAAAAGTAGGGGATATTTGATTTTGGGGGCATAATACTAAAATATGCAAATGACTACGAAAAAAGTCACTATAGAACCTAACAGAAGAAACATTTCCAGTTACATGTGACGCCCAAACGCACCAATAGCTACCGCATGGAATGCAGGTGATGCTTGGGATCATCATGGGGGTCCAACCCAAGATTTGCACGACTCTGACTTTGAATGTTACAGTCATTGTGGCATTGAATTCCAGGGTGGAAACATCAGTTTAATTGTTTTAGTGACCAGAAAACAAATTTTGATATGCGTCGGCTTACCCAAAATGAAAGGTTACGTGCCCTTGGCATGCTACAGATCGGCACAACACAGGCGGTTGTGGCG